TTGTCACTTATATTCACTGCCTCTGCTGTCAGTGTTACATTCTCGTGCTCTTGTGTCATTATTATTAGCATTGGTACTAGTGTCACTTTTATGAACTCTGGGATCATAATTGTATCGAAAGAGCTCTAGAGTTACTATTGCGTTCACTTGCACCGACTTCATCATCTCATTAACGGGCAATGAAGTTACTTCACATTTTCTGAAACTATTGTCATTATCTCATTCAATGATTTATTATCACTATTTATAGGCTTAGTGTCGCAATTTTTTTCCTAAGGCCTGATATCCTCATCGCATAACAAATGTTTATTGTCTCCGTAACAGAACTGATATCTGGTATCACTCTCATATTCCCTATGTCTAGTGTCACTCTCAAATAATCAAAGTGTGGTGTCACTATCAGAGACAGAGAGATATTGTATTTTATTAAATAATTCCTCATGAAATACATGAACCAGATCAGCTTTTAGATTAGGAGGGGTTGAGGATATTTTTGTGCCGCTTCTATGCACTGGTTTAGAGTATAATAAGCCACACCCCATCGCGTTTTCCCCCCCTCAACTCCCCTACCATTGATAATCCAGTCCATCAAGACTGCCAACTTCCACCACAAGTAGCCAAGCCAACACAACAAAACTAACAATATTTGAAGCAAATTCCTAGTAAATGTCATTGTATGTGCAACATATAGAGTAAAAACAATAGAATGTAATAATTTCGAAATTAAAGTATTTAGTGAAAACCAATAAAGATTCCGGCTTAAATCTCGTGACTACAGAGACGACGACCTTGCTTCCGAAACGACAAATGTTCTTGTGTAATTTCCCGTTTTCTGGAGAAGAGTTGCCAGTTTTGGCCGGGAGTGACCAGGGTATAAAACGTCGATGTCTGAGGACTTACTACTCAGTTTGCTGTAGCTGACCAATAGACCAACATGGTGAGGCTCTCTCTCATACTGGATATATTACTGGAGCCTATTATAATCCATGCTTCCATTTTTATGCTTCCAAAAGAAAAATACGCCGAGAGTTGAACCCTATTTTTCAGTGTCGATAAATATTCAGATTAACTTATTCCTGAATTGTGTTTAGGGCTGCCAAAAGGTTATTGTGGTGGCTTAATAACCCTCCAGACATTAGTAACTGTTTAGGCTTCTGTCTAACACACCCAAACCAATGCTTCGGATTTAAATTAATACATTTTATTATAATTTTGACACAATAAATACATTGAACTTTTGCTTCTTTTTCATCATTTTCAGAAGCTCCTGTTGACATTGTTGCTGGTCGCCATGCTGGCTACCTTGAGCCAGGCTGGTGGACACGTTGGCTTTGTTGGAGGTCACGGTGGTGGATATGGCGGAGGCTATGGCGGTGGATATGGTGGTGGCTACGGAGGTGGATACGGTGTTGGTGGTGTATCAAACAGCATCTATAACATCGCAGGTCCCAGACATGGTGGTTACAGTTATGGCGGCCACGGAGGATATGGTGGCGGCCATGGAGGTTTTGGTGGCGGCTATGGCGGTGGCTATGGTGTATATGGTGGTGGCTATGGCGGTGGCTATGGAGGCGGCTATGGCGGTGGTTACGGGGGATATGGTGGTGGCTATGGATACGGGAAATAGACGACCGTGGAAGATGACCAGCAGGAGAATGTAATAAATATCGAAATACAAATAAATTGTTAATAATAAAATAACGAATTACATTCACGATTTTATTTCTCTCTGGCAGGCCTCCAGATCCTGTTGTATGAGTTTCAATGTATATATCTTAAAATAAATAATATGTCAATCAAAACGTTTAATTCCATCATTATGCTTCGTATTCTGTCCAATGAACGAGAGGAGAAGTATGATTATAACTTGGTGTCTCACTTACTATTATCGAGGAAAGGAGCTAGTTAGACTTATTGAGATCTTTTTAGGCAGACAAAATTTTCCCAGGAGGCAAGAACAACATTTGGCTAACTCAATAGTACATATTTTCGATAGGTGAACAGAGGCATCACGTGTAAGAATAAGTACCCAAAAGTATTGCTTTCCTGCCCGCGAATCTAACTGTGATCCAATCATTTGGGAGCCGACGGTACGATCTACTGCACTTGAAATTAAATTAGAAACAAAATTTTTTAATTGCCGTTCGTACCTGGATATTTTACCCAAGTATTCCACTATTGTCAATGTTACTGCTAGGTTTGTAGGTGTTACTCCTTAAGTAAGGTATTCCTATTTAAGTTACTCCTTACATAGCTAGCTTGAGATACTTCTGGGTTTAGTGGTGGGCTTTCTTACATAGCTGGCTTGTGTTCCTGCTGAGTTTGGTGTTGATATTAAATCCTATCAAACTCTTACAGATTGTTAATGTCCTGACTTGTGCTTACTGAACAGCGAACAAGTATACTTTAGTATACTTGTTCGCATGGCCGCTTCTGACCATGTGGTAAAGTGCCCCGAATAGACAAAAAGGTGTATGCAGTTATAATATTTCATATGTTCTTATATGTTACTACCAGAGGCCACAATACCCGTTGGCTCAAATTATGTGTAAATCGTGACAACTAATGTTCTACGTGAGTTTATGGTCGAAGAACTAAATGAACAAAATTATTATGAATCTCAGACAGTAGTAGTAGCAGTAGTAGGCATCCTTCAGTCTCGGGGGACTATGGAGCTGCACTCTGGTTGTCAATCTCCATGGTGTAACGCATGGGTAGGTCAATATGTAAGAGAAACTGTTACCCATGCAGCAGGTCCCCCTCTCCACGTTGCTGAAATTATCCAGTGGAAAGGCAAACGCCTTTCCAGCACCGTCGCAGAAGCTATCAGAACGAAGTCAACAACGAACTGCCTTAGGGGCTCCAACTCCGGATTTTTATTCGAGGTTGACTCCTGAAGCCTTTCACAAAAGAGGGGTATGGCCGCAAGGCAGCCGAGGTTTGAAATCAGGGGGGGTTTCCTTCCCCTAGATGTCCTTTCCAGACTATCGAGTCCTGTCTATCCGGAGCAGCTGGGTTTAAGGCTCCAGAGGCATGCCCTCTCCCCTTCTCCTGTCAGTAAAAGCAGTTCCGTCGGACTTAAAGACTAGTCCACCCGCGCAGGACGTTGGAATCTTAGACAAAACCGACAACTAGAGAAAAAATCCAGTTAATTATTTCAATGATACATCACGTTAATGTGATTTCTTTGTGCATTTGAAGGGATCGTTAGTGGAAGGACTTCTCTACCACACCAGAGTGCACGAGGGTAAGGTGTGAAACCTTGATTTGGTATCAGACCCCTTGAGGATTCAGTTTATTTTAGGTTATGTCCTTAATAGATCATCGTTGATTTGTGTTTAAAGGCGTGCACTTGTGAGTACCTAGGTTGCTTGGTCGAATCCACCGTTTAGCATGAATTGATGTTCTCAATATTAATAATTATATTAAACATTAATATAGTAAAATCAATCACTTGAATTAACTGTCGGCGTTGCTACATATAAACAAAATACAAGAAGTACTCCGGTATTGTTTTGTTTGAGTGTTTAATGAGGTTGGGTTTATACCTGAGCGAGTTTTTGGGCTCCTGGAAGTATTTGATTTGGTTCCTTACACAGATTCCTGAATTCTATTCTGATGTTAGCCAGCCTCTGGCTAACATCAGAATGGTTCCTTTAGTCCTGGTAGTTGTTTTTGTGTTTAAGGTTGTAGTTGCAGTAGCGATGTGGGAAGTAGATGTTGTGATTTTGGACTGTGTATGGCTTCGGTTGTCAGTTGCAACGTCTTGCCTTTATCCTGCGTTTATTGCTTCAGCTTTTTACTAAATGTAGCAGTTATACTCTTCTTTTATGTATACACAGTATCAAATGTCTTCTGTTCTGTCTGTAGCATTCTATGCCTCTTACGTGAGATTCTGAATATCATAAATGGAAGCAGTTTCCAACGTCTATTGGGAAGCCTGGCCACAGGCTGGCCTCGGGGAGTAGAGGAACTCCCGAAACCCTCTCAAGGAAAGAGCCAGGTAGTGAGGTTACCATTAGATGCTTAGAGCCAGGGTGGTATTGTTTGCTTCATCCCATTCACCGGCTCTAATGTCATTTGTACTTTCACTGCCTCGTCCCTTATATTCACTGCCTCTGCTGTCAGTGTTCCATTCTCGTGCTCTTGTGTCATTATCATTAGCATTGGCACTAGTGTCACATTTATGAACTCTGGGATCATAATTGTATCGAAAGAGCTCTAGAGTTACTATTGCGTTCACTTGCACCGACTTCATCATCTCATTAACGGGCAATGAAGTCACTTCACATTTTCTAAAACTATTGTCATTATCTCATTCAATGATTTAATATCACTATTTATGGGCTCAGTGTCGCAATTTTTTTCCTAAGGCCTGATATCCTTATCGCATAACAAATGCTTATTGTCTCCGTAACAGAACTGATATCTGGTGTCACTCTCATATTCCCTATGTCTAGTGTCACTCTCAAATAATCAAAGTGTGATGTCACTATCAGAGACAGAAAGATATTGTATTTTATTAAATAATTCGCCATGAAATACATGAACCAGTTCAGCTTTTAGATTAGGAGGGTTAAGGATATTTTTGCGCCGCTTCTATTCATTGGTTTAGAGTATAATAAGCCACACCCAATCGCGTCCTTCCCCCTCGACTACCCTACCATTGATAATCCAGGCCTTCAAGACTGCCAACTTCCACCACAAGTAGCCAAGCCAACACAACACAACTAACAATACTAAACCAAATTCCTAAGAAATGTCATCGTATGTGCTACATATAGAGTAAAAACAATAGAATGAAATAATTTCGATAATAAAGCATTTAGTGAAAAGCAATAAAGATTCCAGCTTAAATCTCGTGAATATAGAGACGACGACCTTGCTTCCGAAACGGCAAATGTTCTTGTGTAATTTCACGTTTTCTGGAGAAGAGTTGCCAGTTTTGGCTGGGAGTGGCCAGGGTATATAAAACGTCGATATCTGAGGACTTACCACTCAGTTTACTGCAGCTGACCAATAGACCAACATGGTGAGGCTCTCTCTCATACTGGATATATTACTGGATCCTATTATTATCCATGCTTCCATTTTTATGCTTCCAAACGAAAAATACCCCGAGAGTTGTACCCTTTTTTTCGGTGTAGATAAATATTCACATTAATTTATTCCTGAATTGTGTTCAGGTCTGCCAGAAGGTTATTGTGGTGGCTTAATGACCCTCCAGACATTAGTAACTGTTTAGCCTTCTGTCTAACACACCCAAACCAATGCTTCGGATTTAAATTAATACATTTTATTATAATTTTGACACAATAAATACATTGATTTTTTTCTTCTGTTACGTCATTTTCAGAAGCTCCTGTTGACATTGTTGCTGGTCGCCATGCTGGCTACCTTGAGCCAGGCTGGTGGACACGTTGGCTTTGTTGGAGGTCACGGTGGTGGATATGGAGGTGGATATGGCGGAGGCTATGGCGGTGGATATGGTGGTGGCTACGGAGGTGGATATGGAAGAGGATACGGAGGTGGATACGGTGTTGGTGGCGTATCAAACAGCATCTATAACATCGCAGGTCCCAGACATGGTGGATACAGTTATGGCGGCCACGGAGGATATGGTGGCGGCCATGGAGGTTTTGGTGGCGGCTATGGCGGTGGCTATGGTGTATATGGTGGTGGCTATGGCGGTGGCTATGGAGGTGGCTATGGCGGTGGTTATGGGGGATATGGTGGTGGCTATGGATACGGGAAATAGACGACCGTGGAAGATGACCAGCAGGAGAATGTAATAAATATCGAAATACAAATAAATTGTTAATAATAAAATAACGAATTACATTCACGATTTTATTTCTCTCTGGCAGGCCTCCAGATTCTGTTGTATGAGTTTCAATGTATATATCTTAAAATAAATAATATGTCTATCAAAACGTTTAATTCCATCATTTTGCTTCGTATTCTGTCCAAAGAACGAGAGGAGAAGTATGATTATAACATGGTGTCTCACTTACCATTGTCGAGGAAAGGAGATAGTTAGACTCATTGAGATCTTTTTAGGCAGACAGAATTTTCCCAGGAGGCAAGAACAACATTTGGCTAACTCAATAGTACATATTTCCGCGAGGTGAACAGAGGCGTCATGTGTAAGAATAAGTACCCAAACGTATTGCTTTCCTGCCCGCGAATCTAACTGTGATCCAATCATTTGGGAGCCGACGGTACGATCTACTGCACTTGAAATTAAATTAGAAACAAAATTTTTTAAATGCCGTTCGTACCTGGATATTTAACCCAAGTATTCCACTATTGTCAATGTTACTGCTAGGTTTGTAGGTGTTACTCCTTAAGTAAGATACTCCTATGTAAGTTACTCTTTACATAGCTAGCTTGAGATACTTCTGGGTTTAGTGGTGGGCTTTCTTACATAGCTGGCTTGTGTTCCTGCTGAGTTTGGTGTTGATATTAAATCCTATCAAACTCTTACAGATTGTTAATGTCATGACTTGTGCTTACTGAACAGCGAACAAGTATACTTTAGTATACTTGTTCGCATGGCCGCTACTGACCATGTGGTAAAGTGCCCCGAATAGACAAAAAGGTGTATGCAGTTATAATATTTCATATGTTCTTATATGTTACTACCAGAGGCCACAATACCCGTTGGCTCAAATTATGTGTAAATCGTGACAACTAATGTTCTACGTGAGTTTATGGATTAAGAACTAAATGAACAAAATTATTATGAATCTCAGACAGTAGTAGGAGGCATCCTTCAGTCTCGGGAGACTATGGAGCTGCACTCTGGTTGTCAATCTCCACATGGTGTAACCCATGGGTTGGTCAATATGTAAGAGAAACTGTTACCCATGCAGCAGGTCCCCGTCTGCACGTTGCTGAAATTATCCAATGGAAAGGCAAACGCCTTTCCAGCACCGTCGCAGAAGCTATCAGAACGAAGTCAACAACGAACTGCCTTAGGGGCTCCAACTCCGGATTTTTATTCGAGGTTGACTCCTGAAACCTTTCACAAAAGAGGGGTATGGCCGCAAGGCAGCGGTGGTTTGAAATCAGGGGGGGGGTTTCCTTCCCCTAGATGAGCTGCCTTTCCAGACTATCGAGTCCTGTCTATCCGGAGCAGCTGGGTTTAAGGCTCCAGAGGCATGCCCTCTCCCCTTCTCCTGTCAGTAAAAGCAGTTCCGCCGGACTTAAAGACTAATCCACCCGCGCAGGACAGGAGCTGGACGTTGGAATCTTAGACAAAACCGACAATTAGAGAAAAAAATCCAGTTAATTATTTCAATGATACATCACGTTAATGTGATTTCTTTGTGCATTTGAAGGGATCGTTAGTGGAAGAACTTCTCTACCACACCAGAGTGCACGAGGGTAAGGTGTGAAACCTTGATTTGGTATCAGACCCCTTGAGGATTCAGTTTATTTTAGGTTATGTCCTTAATAGATCATCGTTGATTTGTGTTTAAAGGCGTGCACTTGTGAGTACCTAGGTTGCTTGGTCGAATCCACCGTTTAGCATGAATTGATGTTCTCAATATTAATAATTATATTAAACATTAATATAGTAAAATCAATCACTTGAATTAACTGTCGGCGTTGCTACATATAAACAAAATACAAGAAGTACTCCGGTATTGTTTTGTTTGAGTGTTTAATGAGGTTGGGTTTATACCTGAGCGAGTTTTTGGGCTCCTGGAAGTATTTGATTTGGTTCCTTACACAGATTCCTGAATTCTATTCTGATGTTAGCCAGCCTCTGGCTAACATCAGAATGGTTCCTTTAGTCCTGGTAGTTGTTTTTGTGTTTAAGGTTGTAGTTGCAGTAGCGATGTGGGAAGTAGATGTTGTGATTTTGGACTGTGTATGGCTTCGGTTGTCAGTTGCAACGTCTTGCCTTTCTCCTGCGTTTATTGCTTCAGCTTTTTAATAAATGTAGCAGTTATACTCTTTTTTTATGTATACACAGTATCAAATGTCTTCTGTTCTGTCTGTAGCATTCTATGCCTCTTACGTGAGATTCTGAATATCATAAATCGAAGCAGTTTCCAACGTCTAGTGGGAAGCCTGGCCACAGGCTTTCCTCGGGGAGTAGAGGAACTCCCGAAACCCTCTCAAGGAAAGAGCCAGGTAGTGAGGTTACCATTAGATGCTTAGAGCCAGGGTGGTATTGTTTGCTTCATCCCATTCACCGGTTCTAATGTCATTGGTACTTTCACTGCCTCTCTTGTCCCTTATATTCACTGCCTCTGCTGTCAGTGTTACATTCTCGTGCTCTTGTATCATTATCATTAGCATTGGCACTAGTGTCACATTTATGAACTCTGGGATCATAATTGTATCGAAAGAGCTCTAGAGTTACTATTGCTTTCACTTGCACCGACTTCATCATCTCATTAACGGGCAATGAAGTCACTTCACATTTTCTAAAACTATTGTCATTATCTCATTCAATGATTTAATATCACTATTTATGGGCTTAAGGTCGCAATTTTTTTCCTAAGGCCTGATATCCTTATCGCATAACAAATGCTTATTGTCTCCGTAACAAAACTGATGTCTGGTGTCACTCATATTCCCTATGTCTAGTGTCACTCTCAAATAATCAAAGTGTGGTGTCACTATCAGAGACAGAGAGATATTGTATTTTATTAAATAATTCTTCATGAAATACATGAACCAGTTCAGCTTTTAGATTAGGAGGGTTAAGGATATTTTTGTGCCGCTTCTATGCACTGGTTTAGAGTATAATAAGCCACACCCCATCGCGTCCTCCCCCCTCGACTCCCCTACCATTGATAATCCAGGGGATTAAGACTGCCGACTTCCACCACAAGTAGCCAAGCCAACACAACACAGCTAACAATATTGAAGCAAATTCCTAATGTCATCGTATGTGCTATATATAGAGTAAAAACAATAGAATGTAATAATTTCGATAATAAAGCAATTAGTGAAAACCAATAAAGATTCCGACTTAAATCTCGTGACTACAGAGACGACGACCTTGCTTTCGAGACGGCAAATGTTCTTGTGTAATTTCCCGTGTTCTGGAGAAGAGTTGCCAGTTTTGGCTGGGAGTGACCAGGGTATATAAAACGTCGATGTCTGAGGACTTACTACTCAGTTTACTGCAGCTGATCAATACACCAACATGGTGAGGCTCTCTCTCATACTGGATATATTACTGGAGCCTATTATAATCCATGCTTCCATTTTTATGCTTCCAAAAGAAAAATACACCGAGAGTTGAACCCTATTTTTCGGTGTAGATAAATATTCAGATTAACTTATTCCTGAATTGTGTTCAGGTCTGCCAGAAGGTTATTGTGGTGGCTTAATGACCCTCCAGACATTAGTAACTGTTTAGACTTCTGTCTAACACACCCAAACCAATGCTTCGGATTTAAATTAATACATTTTATTATAATTTTGACACAACAAATGCATTGAATTTTTTCTTCTGTTACGTCATTTTCAGAAGCTCCTGTTGACATTGTTGCTGGTCGCCATGCTGGCTACCTTGAGCCAGGCTGGTGGACACGTTGGCTTTGTTGGAGGTCACGGTGGTGGATATGGAGGTGGATATGGCGGAGGCTATGGCGGTGGATATGGTGGTGGCTTCGGAGGTGGATATGGAAGAGGATACGGAGGTGGATACGGTGTTGGTGGTGTATCAAACAGCATCTATAACATCGCAGGTCCCAGACATGGTGGATACAGTTATGGCGGCCACGGAGGATATGGTGGCGGCCATGGAGGTTTTGGTGGCGGCTATGGCGGTGGCTATGGAGGTGGCTATGGCGGTGGCTATGGCGGTGGTTATGGGGGATATGGTGGTGGCTATGGATACGGGAAATAGACGACCGTGGAAGATGACCAGCAGGAGAATGTAATAAATATCGAAATACAAATTAATTGTTAATAATAAAATAACGAATTACATTCACGATTTTATTTCTCTCTGGCAGGCCTCCAGATCCTGTTGTATGAGTTTCAATGTATATATCTTAAAATAAATAATATGTCTATCAAAACGTTTAATTCCATCATTATGCTTCGTATTCTGTCCAAAGAACGAGAGGAGAAGTATGATTATAACATGGTGTCTCACTTACCATTGTCGAGGAAAGGAGATAGTTAGACTCATTGAGATCTTTTTAGGCAGACAGAATTTTCCCAGGAGGCAAGAACAACATTTGGCTAACTCAATAGTACATATTTTCGATAGGTGAACAGAGGCATCATGTGTAAGAATAAGTACCCAAACGTATTGCTTTCCTGCCCGCGAATCTAACTGTGATCCAATCATTTGGGAGCCGACGGTACGATCTACTGCACTTGAAATTAAATTAGAAACAAAATTTTTTAAATGCCGTTCGTACCTGGATATTTTACCCAAGTATTCCACTATTGTCAATGTTACTGCTAGGTTTGTAGGTGTTACTCCTTAAGTAAGATACTCCTATGTAAGTAACTCCTTACATAGCTAGCTTGAGATACTTCTGGGTTTAGTGGTGGGCTTTCTTACATAGCTGGCTGGCGTTCCTGTTGAGTTTGGTGTTGATATTAAATCCTATCAAACTCTTACAGATTGTTAATGTCCTGACTTGTGCTTACTGAACAGCGAACAAGTATACTTTAGTATACTTGTTCGCAAGGCCGCTTCTGACCATGTGGTAAAGTGCCCCGAATAGACAAAAAGGTGTATGCAGTTATAATATTTCATATGTTCTTATATGTTACTACCAGAGGCCACAATACCCGTTGGCTCAAATTATGTGTAAATCGTGACAACTAATGTTCTACGTGAGTTTATGGTCGAAGAACTAAAT